CCCACAGCCTGACCTCGTCCCCCGCCCCCAGGCTGCATAAAGAGGGCTTGCCCTTCACCTCTGCCACTGGCACCTTATTTATTTCTCGGTTCCCTTCTGGTCACTTCTAGACCTCCGACAGGACATGCTGACCCTGCAGATCATTAGAATCATGGAGAGCATGTGGCAGAATCAAGGACTGGACCTTCGGTATTGAGGATCTCTCGGGCGGGGCAGCCTGGAGGGACAGCCTTGGATAGGTGACGAGGGTTGGCCAGCTGTTACCCTGGTCTGCCCCCACACCCGTTTTGGCTCTTTGGGTGTTCAGGACCCCCTTCTAGTGCTCCCCTTCTCCCACGGTCTGCGGTGCTTGTGCCGTATCGTGTGGACCCCGTGAGTTTTCGCCTGGGGAACACGGTGGTGCTTCCTCAGGAAGGGCTGGGTCCTGTCCAGAAGACTGGGTGGCCCTGGCCAAGCAGCTGGTCAGGACAGGCCTGCTTCCCGCGTCCTTGGGGACTGGCGGGGCAGGGGAGTGAAGCGCACCCACAAATGGCTGGCTGCAGGAGAAACGGAGAGCTGGTCCTGCCTTGCAAAGCCCCCTGCCCTGTCTGGGAGGTGCCCTCCTCTCTGAGAGCAGCAGCCTGCCTTGCCCCTCCTCCCGCTGTAAGCCCCCAACTGCTGCCCCAGCACGGGGGGTCTGAGACAGGACAGCTCCAGTCCTTCCGCCATGACCCCCCTCCTTCCTTGCAGGATGCTGCCCTACGGCTGCCTGTCCATTGGTGACTGCGTGGGGCTCATCGAGGTGGTCAAGAGCTCCTACACCATCATGCAGATCCAATGCAAGGGGGGCCTGAAGGGGGCGCTCCAGTTCAACAGCAACGCCCTGCACCACTGGCTGAAGGACAAGAACAAGGGCGAGGGGTCAGCAGCGGCCCCCCAGCGGGGAGGGGGTGCATGGGCTCTGCCGGGCCTGGGGGTGTTCGGGGCAGGGAGGGTGGGGGGCAGGATTCAGACGGAGCGGGGAGGAAGCAGTTTGCGGGCCTGATGTTTTCCCTGCCTGCTCAGATACGATGCAGCCATCGACCTCTTCACGCGCTCCTGTGCGGGTTACTGTGTGGCCACGTTTATCCTGGGCATTGGAGACCGTCATAACAGCAACATCATGGTCAAGGATGATGGACAGGTTAGTGGTTCCCCTCCCGCGGCCCCCGGTGGCTCCGATGCCGGGGACCCTTCGGCCAAACCAATTGGCAGCCTGGTGCTCCCCGTGCCCACCCTCCCTTCTCTCTCCCAGCTCTTTCATATTGACTTTGGGCATTTCCTGGATCACAAGAAGAAGAAGTTCGGCTACAAGCGGGAGCGGGTCCCCTTCGTCCTGACCCAGGACTTCCTCATCGTCATCAGCAAAGGCGTGCAGGAGTGCACCAAGACCAAAGAATTTGAGAGGTGGGAACGGGCTCTTCTTCAAGCAGGTTGCCCGCCCATCCCACGTGGAAGAAGGGCAGGGCGTCCTTCATCCACCCCCAGCTCCATTCGAAGATCCTCTCTGAGAAGGGCAGATCTCCCCAGAAAAGGGGCCCCTCCACCCCCCAGGCCTTCCCGCTTTCCCCCATGGAGTGCTTCCTTCCCTTGCAGAGAACATGATCGGTTGGTTTCCTCCTCTTAGCCTCACCAGCATCTTTCAAAAGAAATCCTGGCTTAAAGCCATTTATCTTCGTGGTGCATTGGTATCTTGGGGGAGGGGGGTGATGTGAGCCAGCCCCCCTCCTTCAGATTCCATGAGGGAAAATGTGGCAGCTGGTTTTACTATGTAAGGTTTCACCTTTCAAGGGAATCTTCATCAGACATCATGGTTAGGAAAGAAGACCAACCAGAGGAATTTTGCGGGGGGGGGCAGGAACCCTGGCTAGTTTTCAAGCCAGGTTTGTATATTTTGGGTACAAGAATGAACCTGTTTTCCTGAACATCTGGAGGGCCTTCCAGAGTGTGGAGATGGCAGCTCCTGGACTGCCCTTGGCCCCACTGTTGGGCATCCCTTCCCACGGGGGAGCAGAGGTGGGGCAGGGCCCCCCATGGCATCTTCTCTTCCTCGAGGAAAGAGTGCGCCTCCCCCTCCTGCCTCAGCCAGCCCGGCTCCTCCTCCCCGCAGGTTCCAGGAGATGTGCTACAAGGCCTACCTGACGATCCGCCAGCACGCCAACCTCCTCATCAACCTCTTTTCCATGATGCTGGGCTCGGGGCTGCCCGAGCTGCAGTCCTTTGACGACGTGGCCTACCTGCGCAAGACGCTGGCGCTGGACAAAACGGAGCAGGAGGCCCTGGAATACTTCACCAAACAGATGAACGAGGCCCACCATGGCGGGTGGACAACCAAGATGGACTGGATCTTCCATACCATCCGCCACATGCCACTGAGCGAGGCCACCCATGACTGACCTGCCGGGAGAGCGTGAACCCTCACACTGGCAGGGCTGCCCCTCTCCGGCCAAGCCCGGTCTTATCTGAGACCCTCGTCGCCCGCGCCCTCTCTCGGGGCCAGCGAGAGGACCCAAAGGCACTGGTGCGCCTGGAGAAGGCGAGGGGAAGGGAAGGAGCTGAGGATTCTGGCCTCCTCTTTCCCTCTGGAGGCCAGCAGGACCACGGTGTGGAATGGAGCCTCCTGGTTGGGGTTGCGACGTCCTTCAAGGAACGGAGGTCCTCTTCTCCCCATTTGTCTCCGAAGGGAAGAAGGCCCAAGAGGCAGCTCTGTGCTCAGAGCCCCCTTTCTCTCCCCTCCCGTGTAGCTTCCTGGGAGAAGTGGGGTGCAGAGGGGAGGGAGGAAGGACCAGGGGCCTTTTTGAGATGGGGAGGACTCAAAAGACAAGGGTAATACTTGAAAATGTCTGGAGTCAGAAAGGAAAAAAGGACTGCTTTCTCTCTCTTTCTCTCTCTCTTTTTCCAAATAAATTTAAAAAGACAATCTGGGTATGTACCACCCTTCAGATTTTTTTCACAGCCCCGCCCTGAACCTCCTTCAGCCTGTGAGCTGCAAAATGCAAACCGACCCACAAAGTCAGGAGGAGTCCGGGGCCCCCTTTTCAGACTAATAAATTTTATTAAAAGGCAGAAGCTTCTGTGTTTTAATAAAATGTGTCAGTCAGAAAAGGGGCCACCGGACTCCTCCCGATGTTTGGCCACCATGGACTATCCAATCAACAGAAGGCGATTGGCAAAGTTGCTTTGATCGAAGGCCGTGCGATGCTGGTCTGCTTGGGAATGTGTTTGGTGAGCAAAGTGACTCGAGACAGAGCCTCGGGGTCTGGCAGGGACTCCCTTCCGGCAAGCAGCAACTGGCCACTGGGACCGGTGATTCTTGAGGGACCGCCCCCCATAAATGGGTCTGATTTCCTCTGAACCCCTGTGCCCGATGTCCTTCTGTCCCATCAGTGACTTAGGAATGGCACCTGGAGATTTCATCCTGCACTCTGGTATTTGTGAGCTGATCTTGAAAAGCTAAACAGAGTTGGGTCTGTTTAATATTTGGAAGTCCCCATAAGGTCCCAAAGCGATTGTCTGGATGGGAACTCGGGACCAAAAAATATCCAGAAGGCATCTTACGGAAATCCCCAAGGGCCGAGCCCCACAAAGGAGCTGAATGCCAATTCCAGGGGTTTCTCTGAACTCTGAATTTTTTCTTTGGCTCCAAAATCAGGTCTGTGTTTCCATTCCTGGGGGGGGGGGCACACGTTTGCAGCAGTTGCTGGGGCTGATCCCACACTCTCCTTCCTCTTGGGCCTGGGAGTCATCAAGGCCAGAGGGCAGGGCCAGCCAGGCCCCAGCCCACCTGCTCTGGGCCGGCTCTCCCGTGTGGCACAAGGCACCCGGCAGCTTGGGGCCAACACCCCCCCAAAGCATTTTACTGCAGTGACGGTACAGGTGCCCG